ATTATTATTATTATTATTATTATTATTATTAATAAAATAATGTATATCCAATAATGATAGAATTCACACAACAATTCTCCCAGCTGAGAAATCTAAAATACAGTGTTGCAATGCAATACGGTGGCGATATATCACTCGCTTCGTCTCTCAAAGTAAAACGTAATTTTCGTTCCATTATACTTCCATTACACTCCTAAATTCGAGCCTCTTTCATTTGCAGATTCAGGTCTCTCGCTCGCGCACCGTTACTGATCTATCCCAAACGCAACACCTGTGCACTAGTCAGCGGCAGCTGCGGAGTCAGCAGTTTTTCTCTTGCCATTACTACTCGAGGCGTACGCATTTCTAGGTGACAAACTAGGTCGTGACTATGGTCATTTCTTTTTTTTTGTAGAGCCACCATTCAGAATTTCAAGTTCCATGACGTGTACTTTGAAGATGGATTTTAAATTAAATTAATCATCGTTAAGATCGCGAATCTCCCTCTTGAAAGTTTCATTCTTGCCAATTACTCTTTCGAGTGTGTTCGACTGAGAGACCGATTCTATATTCCGAAGTAGAGACTTCAATAAGTGTTTCAGAATCTTTTTGACTCCTCCGCCTTAATCTTGCCAAAGCTGTGTCGCTTGTACTAAGCCATGTCACATACTCATCAAATCAAATTTTTTTGAAAAATTTATATTCTTCTGCAAGCTCGTTTTTTTTTTTTGTGCAATTAATGAATGTTTTTCTAGCTGCTCACCAGTGAATTGTAGTGTGGCTGGGTTGTGTTAATGTTAACTGGTATGGACGGCATGTAGTGATGGGGTCCCATACTCATTTTCCCTCCGGCTGATCCATTTGCCAGAAGGCTGTGCGCCGCTGGAGAGGCGACTGGTTTGTTCTGTGTTGGCGTTTCTGTAATTAATGAAGTACTTGTACGATAGATATACCAACGAGAAATAAAAAATATAACGATTTAATTTAAGAAAAAGAAAATTATTACTTTAAATTCATGGAAGTACATTATCAACAGAAGGTGAGTAATACCTGATCTAAGGCCAGGCTCTGTGATAACTTCGACATAAGAGATAGGAAATATTCCCTTTCTGTTTCCAATACGTCCCTCGTACCAGTTTTCGTCGACTCTTCTTGTCAAGACCACAAGTTCTCCTAAAAGAACAGTGTCTCCTCTATTATGAACAATACTACTCTGATGAAAAATTTTTTTTCTAATATACACATCTTTATGTTGACGCTAATCATATTCCATAACGCAATACTTATTTGATTTATTTGACAAGAATTTAATGAACAAGAATTTCTGACGACAAAATATATATTTGTGTATAATTTATAGAATAATTTATAGAAACAGAATAGAAAATATAGAATAATTTATAGAATTATATTTGTATATAATTTAAAGAAAATTTATAAACTAAATATGTATATAATTTAAGTTTTAAAAAATATATATATATCTTCTTTTATATTTACCTTTGGCTAGAGATAACTCGAGATTCGTCTGAGCGACGAAGTTAAACTTAGCTCGTGCCTGACCCTCGTAAGGTTTCTTTGGTGTAGTTCGCATACCATCGTAAGGCAAAATCTACAACGAAAAAGATAGTATTATTTTTTCTATGTTCTCGATTTAACATGACTTGAGTAATATTCGTTAAAATAAATTAAACATATGAAATACAAATAATATTCAAGATTATTCAGCAAAAGAAATTGCAATTATTTAAATTTAATTTGACTCGAATTAGATTCTCCTGGTTCACTTTAAATTAAACATTTAATTTATCTCCATTTCACTTTATTCATTTAATAATTTGAAACAATAATGAGAAACGTTCGCGAAGAATAGAAAATTGTTACTCATCTTCAAGTTATCCCTAACGACATTCAATTTATTTTCTCTCTTTTTTACAAAATTTCCTACAAATTTCGATTTAACTGTAAAAAAGTATAACCGATATTTTAAAGAAAAAAAAAAATAATAATAATAATTTTCGTAAGGATATTCAAAGCTTGTTGACGCATACGGAATTGCAACGAAGAAAGTGACGAGAAACGCTAACGCTTTCCAAGCAACATTACCTCAACGTAATTCGATGGGAACAGGCCAATCATAGCATTATGTTCGCCCTCGTACCAGTTCTTGTCTACCTGACGACGCACGAATATTATGTCACCGCGACGGAAATTCAATTCTCGCGAAGATTGCCCGATAAAGTTGTAAAGTGCCCTTGCCACGAGCCGAGGTTCCGGTGTTTGCTCCTGGGATCTGCTTCGGTGGCTCAGATCGTCCACGAAGTCGTCGTAACGGTTCAAGGGAATCGGTGATTTTTGCGACGGTCTGAAATTATTTGTTACAAAAAGCAAGATAACACAGCAAATAAATACGTGATTTGTGAAGAGTAAAAATCTGCAGGGAATAAAGAAAGGTGCAATTAATTTGTAACTTTTGATACTTTTGCAACATTCTCATTAAGAATTACTCTCAACGACTTTTGTTACCCAAGTAAATTTTGTTAGAAAATTTTAAGTGAAATAATACTAAACAGATAGCTACCTAAATCGCATCATCATTTTAGCTTAAATGTATTTAAATAGAATTGAAGATTAGACAATTTATTTCAATTAATGCCAAGAGGATATAATGTTAATACTATGTATAAAGTTAATTAATTCGATATTCCCTGTCAAATTGAAAACATGAAATACGTTCACATATTTGATAATTTATAATATAATATAATATATAATAATATTATATTTTTTTTTCCAACGATGTTTTATTTTCAATTCGATGGACTGTTTCTTTGATTCCTAAATCACTACTATATTTTTTATTTATCTTTCATAAAATTACGATCAAGTGGTTCGAAGAATCGTTATACAAAACGATCTTCTTTGTTAGAGGTTACTTGTTTTGCTGAACCATTGGTATAATTGCACTTTGCACTAATGCATAGTCATCTCTTATAAATATTGTATAAGAATTACGCATTGTTCTGAACGAAGATAGGGAGGTAAGGTCACGTAGTAGAGCAAACACGTGCTGTTGAAACGGATGAAAACTAGTTGGAATCTATTTGACGAAATAAAAAAAAAAAAAACAGAGATTGTGTAAAATAAAAATAAATTAAATTTCTTTTATTTCATAGAATTGCACTGTCAAACTTTAATTTCACTTCTTTTTTGACAAAATTTTTTACAAATTTTTGACAAAAAGCACTGAATAACAAGATCACTTGCAATTAAATCAAGAGTAAGTTGTGAATTTATTCTTTGCGGAATAATTTTTGATTTCTCTAAGTCCAAGTCCTTCACCGTTTAGTATAAAACTTATAAATTATTGGCAAGTTCATTCTTTACAAATTTCTGTTTCATTCCACTCTTTAAACATTATAAACTTTGCATTGCTGATCTATAATCTGTCTAAGTTCGCCATTTACTTAATAAAATGTAAAAAACAAAAAAAAAAATACTTGGGTTTAGTATGTCAAAGCATCGAGAACGAAACGTTCGGTAAATTACTCTGTTCAATAAATCAAGCTTTTA